GAAATTTGCCGAGTTGCGAAAAAAACTTTCCCGGTTGTTGACTTTTCGCGTGATTTTTCCTGTTTCATGTGTACTATTTACCTCCGGTGGAGGGGGTCACACGGACACTACAGTTTCACACATCACGATGCTGTACCCTGCCTCCGAAGTTTGGGTCGGAAGCCATCATTGGCAGCGACAGTATGCTGTGCTATATCTCCCACACCCTTCTCCAATCGAAGTCTTGTGCAGTCTTCGGTAGTTATCGGTGGTGAAAAAGTGGTATGTAGGAAGTTAGGAAAAGTCATTAAGATGCTAGGTAGCATGATGAAGGTGGGTCATATCAGAGGACGAAATTCGACTGGGAGAGTACTACGACAGGATGTGCTCTGCTTCTAACCCCTGATTCCGATGATAAGGTCTTTTGGTGTAGAGCACCTACCACATTCAAAACCACGACACAAGTTACGAGTGGTTTCACATACACCCATGCCCCTTCTTATTAGAAAAGTGCCAGAAACCTCCTGTAACTGCGTAGCCCCCCCCCACGTTACAAACCGTGGAACATATCCCGGCCCAAGAACAGAAAATAGCGCTTCAGTGCTCGCGCGCGCTCGCTGGTGACGCGGATACGGTAGCGGCTGAGCGTTGTACGACCCGCAACTGCACGTGACGCTACGCGGCACGCTGCGCGAATTTCAAACGCTCGATAATGCGGTCGTGGCGGCCGTGCCGTGGACCGAGCCGTAGTGTCTGTAAAATCTCGTTTCCACCTTCTCCGCCTGAATTTTTGTTCATTACGTACTTTTCTGTTGGTGTTGTTGCACGCTTCTGATGCACATTACGTCCCTTCTTGGTGGACTCGGTGAAAATACACACAATCAAGGCGAGTGTAACCTAAAAATTGAAAATGACGTAACAATTGATTCATGAGGTAGACAAAGTTTCCTGGACGTTCGCAGGTTGTAAGTAACTTTAGAGAGAAGTTACTTGACTTGAGTTACTTGTAAGAACTCAGTAGTACTGAAAGGTTCCCAGAGGAAAGCAAAGCGAAGAAAATCCTGGAGCTGCAATGGAAACAAGTTGTTTGGCCCAGATTTTGATCATTTTTGTCAATCACCTCTTTCTCCGTCAACTGCTTAGCAGAGAAAAATGAAGGGGGGGGGGGAGTGTCATTCGCCGATTAGGTCGGTCCATTACACCATAGCTTCAAGGGACCATTACTGTCTAAGTCTGACCCTGCTTACCCTTCACTGGCTCTCGTTTCGAAATTCAGGCTACTTTTGACGAAAATTCTCCGGCGGTAGATTTGGCCAAACCTGCTTGGGGTCCGTCTGACTCCCGTCTCAGGTTATGTCAGCGCAAAGCCTTCCTCCTTACTTTTTTCTTCCTCTTTTTTCTTATTTTCCTTCCTTTCGAAGTTGGGCAAGTACGTACGATGAGGAAATATCTCTGAACCATCGCAGCGAGAGCGTGTCCAAATCGCAGAAGCCTCGTAAGCCATGGAGGGAGAGGAGGGAGGGAGCTAAAAGCCGATGTGGTCCATGAAAACATAAATTTAAGAGGCTAGTTCTGGTGTCTTCACCCTTCACTGCCCCGATTTTCGAGTTTCAAGCCACACTCTCCTTGAAATTCTCCCGGAGGTAGATTCGGTCAAAATTCTGCTCCGGGGTAGTGCGACTTCGTAAACACGGGTACCTATCCGCTTGAAGCAAAAGTAGCCTGTCGACTGCGCCTTGTCCTGTTTTGAGGCCGGCGCTTATTAATAGCACGTATATGGCGTATCTCGTGTGCAAACGAATGTACGTGTTTGCTTTTCAGGAAAAACAAAAAACCCCGGTCAGTAGCAAGCTTGGTGCACATTACTCCCGAGCGAGAATCTTTCACTGTGAAAGTCTGGCGTGAATCTTCAAAAGAGGGGCAGCAAAGGGTGGGCAATGAATTAGACTGAATGCAGAATGACGGCAAAGAGCTTAATTTTCTTTTCAAAAAAGTAGGTCCTTGAGGTGCTTAGCGTTTCTTCTTGGACAGGGGTTTATGAACATGGGTTTGAGAGTAGATACTTGCGAATCGTCATTTTTTTAAGCGTCCCTTATTTTTTGGGGGAGTTTGATTATGGGAGGAGCCCAAATAATAGCTTTTTGAAACCAGGGCGGTAATCCGGATTTTTTGGGTGGTTTTGGCTACTTTCAAGGGTAATCGCGATGAGAGCTTCTCACGCGCAGAAAGTCTGCAAAACCACTAATTGGCGCGAACATGAAAAAATTAAAGCCATTCAAGATTATCGTCATTACTAAAATAGTTTGGTCGGTATTCAAGAAGTCGCGATGAGCATTTCGAAGAAAACATAGAAAAGGAACGTGATGGTGGTGGTCCGGATTAAGTGGTAGAGATTCTCGCAGAAAGAGTGGCGTAAGTGTTGGCTTTTGGTATAGACTTTTCGATATAATTTTTGGAAAAGGTCATTCTAAAAGAAAGGCTAAGGAAAGGGGAAGCGGAAAGGCAGAGGTTTTCATGCAGAATTCACTTACCAACTAAGTTTTTATAGTTGTCACCTCGTCAAGCCTCGTAATTAACAGGGTTGATCGGTCTCTAAGTTAAAAACTTCATAACGCGTTTTTACTTTGCGATCGTGGTGAGATCGTGATCTGGGAGAACGCGCGGAAAAGAGAAGTGTACGTATCGATTTAAAAAATCGTCGACAATGGGGATCGATTGGTCGAATTACTTGATCATGTGATCAATGCGTATACTTCCTTTTCACGCCTTCGCGCATTCTCTCACAAAGTATGAACGCGGCTTTACGATTTGTGTCATCTGAAACTTTGAAGATTTCCAACAAGTTTCAATATGATTTAGATGACGAGCACCCGTCGTAGTGGACTCAGCGATGCGAAGTCATCACCGCAAAAGCGACCAGCACCGCCAAGTACCCCTCCAAAGTCATTGCGAAAACGAAAGAAGGTTGTCGAAGGCGAGGTTCCACCACCAGAAGTTGTTGTGGAGGATCCACAAACGTCACAGAATGAGACAACGTTGCAATCTCGTCCAAAGCGAACGATAAGGAAAAGTGTCTTGCTCACTGATTATGAGGTTAGTTTGATTGAACTACTTAGTTTGAATCGATATGGCGTTTATATGCTGCAACTGCAATTCTGGGACTGCGTCGAAGAGTAGGTACAGTCTCGTTCACTGGGGATGAAGGGCATGTTGAGCGAGATGGGTTTGGTGCGGCGCTATATCTGTTCTGGGTAAACGACAACAAGTGGTGGAAAATGGTATACGAAGATATGATGCAGTCTTGTCGCTTGCTGCTTCAACATTTGTTGGAAAACACGTTTGACGCCGTGCCAAACCCATCCCGTCTGCCACATCTGCAACATCTCTGAAGGGGCGATTGCGATGCATGCATGACGAAAGAATTGATGGACCCCAATTTGCACTTGCATCAGCATATCACACTCGCTGGAGCGATACGTATACTTTCCCTGGCGGACATTCGCTTGAATCGTATCGCCTATAGATTCTCCACATTCGCCATGGCTGGTGCTGACGTAATTGGTGGGAAGGGGGGGGGGATTGAAAATGCTGACTTATCCTGCCTCAACAGACATCCAAGATCTCTAGAAAAACAGAGTCTGAGGAGTTCCCCGCATCCGTTGGGACTCGTCCGCTACTCTGTTTCCTTTCCTCTTATCAGGCTCAGACTTCAAGCGTAGACTGTCATAAGTCGATGAGGCATAGTCTCACACAGAAGACATAACCCCCACTGAGACCAGGTTAGGGGAAGGGATACAGGCACTACCGAGGGCCGCCCTCGTAACCGCAGAAAAAGCAGCTTTTTTTCTCGTTTCTTTATACGTTTCGCGAAGAATGCGCTTCCGTGTTACCCAAAACTGAATTAGCTTTGTGGTCCACTCGGTATTTGATCAGCGCTTTCCTTGACTAGACCTTATCAGTTGATTTTGTGATTCACGTGAGCAAGTTAGACGCTTAGCCCTGAGCCTGTTAAACGTGACACTGGAATGAGAGAACTCACGAACGTACGGAATCGCGAAAATCAGAGTATACGTAAAAAGATAAGAAAAATATGTAGAGGTACTTTGACTCCACCCAAGTGGTGATTTGGAGAATTGCAGAATAGGGGATAATCGAAGCTTATCTAAGTGTACGTTCATACTTTGCGTCAGCGACTAGGGAAGGTATCGGTAAACAGCGTTTTCAGAGTACGCCGACGTCCTTAGCGACGAGAAGTATAGGTATCGATCTGACTTTCTGAGCGTACATCTGCATACGGTCAAAACGCCGACGCAACGAACTCACTCTAACCTTTCCTCTTTTTGCACCGATTCCGCGATTCTCCAGTGTCGCTGGATATGAGCGTGAGCTCAGGGCTTCAGGGCTTACTAACTATTTGGCAAGCTCTATTGGTATAATTTTTTGACCGAGAGAAACCTTGAGCTAGTTTTTTAAGGTGATGCTACCTAGCGCTGTCAAAGAAGAGCCCGAGGATGATGAAGAAGAAGTGCCTGCCCAAACTGCTACTGAAACTGTTGAAGCAGTCGAAGAACAGTTTGTTGATATTGAAGTTTCGCATGTGGATGAACAACTGCGCGCAAACGTAAAAGCGGAAGAAAAAACTCCAGCGGTTCAACGAAAGCCCCATTCACGGCGAGCTGCTGCGGCTCCTCCCTACATTGAGCCCGAAGTGAGTAATTGATATTCCTGTAATTTCGCGCTAACTTTTTATTTTCATCTCACTTCGATAGGTAAATGCCATTTCTCAGCAACCGACACCCGCTGAGGCGGAGGTTGATATCGAAGGCATGGAATTGATGGGTGGGGAAACAGGTGGTATGATGACATTAGCAGATGCAATAGACGTGGCTCTCGAAGAGGAAGTGTCTGGTGGTGAAGACGATGATCAACCACCTACCCTGGAAAAAAGCGGAGAGTAAGTTAACCTTTAATTTTTGATCTTCATTACTCATTACTAACTCATTACTAACTCTCGTTACTAACTATATTATTCGTTTAGAAAAAGAAGGCCTCGTGGACGACCCCGTAAGCACTCTCCAATGCAGGCTGTCCCTCGACATACTCGTGTTGGTCGACTCTTTCCACTTCCTCGATCACGTTACGTAGCAGACAAGGCTATCAGCAAAGGAGAAGCTGACAAAATCAATAATTATAACATCAAATTGGTTGGTTTTCATCCTTTCGACTAGTCTCAACTACGCTCTCACGCTTTTCTTGTCACGTTAGTGTAAGCAGTCACGAACACTAAGGTGTAGTTCCTTAGATTCAAACTTTGCACACAAACAAGCATGCCTGATTAATGTTGGCGTCAAGCCAATTGAAGGCACGTTCTATGAGGTCCATTTGATGTTCAGACGCCTTCTTTAGGCATGGTGGTACTTCCCTACTGGAGGATGTATTGCCTTGCAGCTCGAAAATACGTGAGGAAAGAGCGACCCGCTCGCGGAGCGTGGTCCTGTCTTGGCCAAGGCAACGTCCAGCTTTCATCATTGAGGGCCTTGGTTGGTACGGTGTCCCCTACTAGCTCATCCCATTTAGAATTGTGAGAGTGGGGTGATAAGGAGAAAGAACTGCCTTCAACAAATAGGAACTCGTGTGACCGCACCCTTTCTTGCCATTATGCGCGAACAAGAGCGATTCAGCCTCGGATCTACATGGGGCATTTCAGGCTGAAGATTTGTGTTGTGATAATTTTTGCTTTAGTTCGAGAATGATGTTGGAGTGACGGAATATGGAGATCGTTACGCAACAGTCATCCCTGGATGTCTCAGCTATTTGTTGCGTAAAGAGCGAATTGTGGAATTGCTGACGGAACCCTCGGACATCGAAGCAATGTAAGTTCTCCGTGTCAAGTATTTTCTCAAAGAAGTGTTGTGTAGAGGTTTGTTGCTCCGAACTGTAGTCGCTTGCCCATTTCTCCCTTCCCTCTTCGACAACTGGTAGGGAATAGACGCGCCGAACCCAACCGCCTCTCCCTGATACGCCTCGGCGTCCGTAACGAATATGACTATAGTTGGAGGGGGCAGCGGGCGGCGTTATAATGGAATAGAGAGAAGTTTGGCGGAATGAGCGGACTAACCCCTGGGGGCGTGCGAGCTGCTCTACTTGCTACTTTTACACACTCGATAGAGTAACGTTATTTGTTTAGTCGTGAACAAGGCTGGATGTCGATTAAACCTCCAAGACTGCCTCCTCTCGTGGGCACGAAAGCCTGCTTCGCTTTCTACATCGAAGGATCTACTGTGTGCTCAGTGAGAGAGCTTTCGAGTGATGACTTGAAACCATGGACGACAACTGGTATCACCTACCTCTCATCTTATGTTGTTATGCGTTGTAGTTTTTCTTTGTAGACCCTGTCGAGGGAGAACCGACGATAAAACCGAATGTAAGGAAGCATGCTGTGGCAAGAATTGAAGGACGTTCCACCTCACAGAATACAGCGCTTGGCTACCGAGGCTTCTAAGGTTGAGGAAAAAGGTGACATTTTACACGAGCGCTTGTGCTTTAAGCTTTATGCTTACTTTTCAAGCCTTTCCTCTCCATTTATGACTAGTCAGCACTACTCAGTGCCCAGTATTACAGATTTTCTATGTTGCTCGGCAAACTGGACAAATCGTGGGCAATGTTTTGATATTGTACGATTTCACAATGCCCGGAGAAATACCGACAGTAATGAATATTGCTCATGGTAACGATGCTCTACGAGATATGCAGCAGATGGATTTAGCGCTGGAACTGCCTGTGGCTGATGCGGACAATCCGGTAAGTCCATTAAGAGTGCTTTTCCTGTTCCTGTAGTATCGATGGTGTCGTGCGAATTGCTGAAATTACCGCAAGGCAGTGTTTGTACTTTGCTAATGTATAGAATCCGCGAGTTGAAAGAACACTGCAAACTGAGGATGAGATGAAGTTCAGTAGATACCGTAGGCGAAACAGGCATTCCTTAGGATATAGCATGCGCGCATACCAGTACTCAGTCGATCTGCTAGTGATGCGATATTTCACTTCAACTGACTAGGTCACCTAGTTACTAATTCGCTTGTTTGACTGCTGTATGCGCACAGGGAAATGGAATGTGTATTGGGCAAAATCATTCGATTATTAGGGCGTGGGATTTCAGCTTCTTTGGAGACGCGCATTCTCCAGACCAAGTCACCTACTTAACCGCTGTTTCTCTCAGCTTGCATATTTCTCACATTCGCAAAGTATGAACGTGGCCCAACTAACAAGGGGAACTCAACGGTCGATTCGATCGTTTGCAAAAGGAGTCTCTATTTTATATGTCTTGAGAAGCCTAACTCAAATCTATCTTCTGTTTTTGCGTGGCGACCCTGCGCGCGAAGAAGTTATGAACACGCCCCTCTCTTGTACGCGTGTTAAAGTTGGAACGAAGAGTGCTAAAGTAAGTAATAGTAAGTGCTAAAGTGTAACCGCTGGTGCTCAGATACGCTAAGAACGATTAATACAACTTTTGGCCGAGAAACGGTCTACTTCGAATTCTGTAGATGAACCGCTGCTCGTGAGAGTGACCATAACTGGGGGAACGCTAGTTCATGATAGCGTCCATTTCGCACCCTTTCCCCTCCCCCCCCCCCCCCCAACGGCACCCTCATGGGGGTGTGTGTGGGACAACTTCTTTCAGGGAATGGTTCCGCAAATTTCAGAGACAGATTTGAGCCCAGCACCCAAGTCGCGGTCATCGCATATCATTGGAAAGGGCCTATGATGGCAAGTTCGGGCTTTGAAGAAACATGAGAGGTGTCAGGCTGCGTTCATAATTCAGGCTGCGTCCCTAGTGTACGGCAGCGTTTCGAGCAGCTAGGAAGATAATGGTATCGGTCTAGCGTTTTGAGCGTACGCCAGCGTGGTATGGCAGTATTTTCAGCGACTGCCCGTGAGAAGTTCAAAACTACCCGTGAAATACGCTAGATCGATACTTTTACTTTTCTGATTGCTCAAAACGCTGCCATACGCTTAGAACGCTGACGCACGGTATGCAACCTTAGAACGCTCAGTATTCCTGGGGAGGAGAGCATACATATCTATAAGAACAGCGAAAAAGCGGTCGCTGGTTTGTACCAAACCAACGAGGAGAAATTTGGATCTCTGCTGTGGTGCGAGTCAACCAACCGAAAGAAAAATGTTTTTTACAGTTCATCGAAGGCGTTGTTCCCGGTGTCCGAGGCGAGAAGTTCCTCAAAGTCCATCCATCAAAGATTGGTTGGGTGAATAATAAGACGTTATTGTTGAAGTATTTAATCAACGATCCCACCTACTTGTAAGTTTTTTCTCCTCAGCTGCGAAGTACGGTCTATTCTAGATTTAATTCCCAATTTTGTTTTATCAAAGGATGCTCTTACGACTTGCACCATTTCAGAGATGAAGCAGGGTATTTAAATACCCACGTGCCTTTCCTGCCACCAATGATTGAAGGACGAGGAGTGTTCGTGCATTTTGCGCCAGCTACCTTGGTTGCTGATCACATTCATCATACGGGTGATGGCTTATCGCCGTGGACATTCCAAGGTAGGTGAACCTTGGAATGTAAACTTGTTCCTGCTAGCGTTACTTGAATTTTGGAAACGGTTCCGAAATCGTTCAGCAGTACCTTCTGCTGTATGATCTCATTCAGGTGCATCTATGCATAACCGTGTACGAACGCATTCAGGTGCATCTATGCATAACCGTGTACGAACTGTGAAGCGTGCGCTTATGCAGGATTCAGAGGGAGTGTTTCGGTTGACTAAGCAAGACTGGCAGCAGACAGGTTTAGCGCTGGTTGAAACGATTACTGTGCTGGCTAGATGCCCACGGCTTAGAAAGAGGGTGAGTGATTTAAGAGGGTTTTGTTGATTTGAAAAACTCGCCACCTATTTGAAAATGGTGCAAAAGTGGGATCTGTTAAAGTTCTATGACGATTATCGTCTTCCAAAGTCACGTTCCGTTAGTAATTTAACTCTCCGAACTGAAACATCAAGCCTTTTCGAGCGAAAACACCTGCCCGCCTATATCCCGACAGCGTAGACTAGTTCCGGCTCCTGCTCGTCAGGGGTGCCATACACGTTGGAGGAGTTCGGCTTAGGGAGACACCAAATGGTTTTCAGCTGAGCTTGTACAGCCTTGTGAAGTCTGTAATTTGTTGCGACCAAAGTGGCTCACTGGCATCTTTTCGCAGCCTCGAAGGTCTCGCTTCGGTGAGGCCCGTTGTTCAGTCTGAACTGTCAAAAGAATTTAGCGAATGTGCACACTGCTGTCCCCCCTCTACACCCCTCCCGAAGCTAACAGCATCTTCGTAAGAGTCAGCTTGGCCTGAGGACGTCTCGCGGAAGCCTCTGACCAAATCTGCTCCCAGTGATGAAGTTTGGTGAGAAATCCGCCGCGATCTCTAGAAAATGGGGTCGTAACTGGTATGGTAAATAGCATTCATGATGCACTAGAATTAAGTTAGCTGAAGTGCTGAATGTTTCGAAATCTTAAATCTTTCCATTAAGGTTGTTTTCATTCAACGCAATAACCGTATGGTGCTGGGAATCGTATGCTTCATGTACGAGTACATACGAGAAGGTCCGATCCCAGAGATCCTACGGGATAATTCTATAAGTGTTCCTGGTCCACCGATAACGGTCAGTTGGCTAAGTTTTACTTTCACTTTGTGCATTATAGTAGCAACTTCTACATTAAGTTAATTTGGAAAACTGAAGTGTGTGAAAGCTTATAACCCACAGCGCAATGCTTCCATGACGCATATTTCACGTATATTCTTCTTGTTTTGCTTGTAGAGTCGGCAATCAACATCGTTGTCGACGTCCGTTGACAAGCCGCATCCGGCTGATATTCAGGGAAATGGTGGTGTTGGTGTTACTGACGATTTCGTCGATGTAGAGGAGATCGTTGATGCAGCAGATGAAAATATGTCGTTAAGTGGAGGTCCAGGGGAGGTACGGCACACAAAGATGGTAGCTTCTAATCTATTCTAATATCAAATTTATTTTAGTACGAAGAAATGCATGAAGATTGCCTAGACGGTGGATGGGACGGCGATTTCGATGAAGACCTGTTAGCGTCACAGGAAAATAGTGATCCGGTAGGTTCACAAATTGCTTTTCAACTTTTGAATGAAAGCTGATGGGGCATTAAGCGATTGTCTGACTTGGGAAATTCTTCGCCGTATAAGGTCAGCGGTCGCGCGATTTTTGAATGCCGCTGCTCGAGTTTTTGTGACAAGGAGGCCTGAGATTTGTGGGTGGTCTTAGTCCCCGCTTCTCTGCCTTGGCTCCTCCCATTCGCCTGTCAAATGTGCCAACATAAAAGAATGTTGACATGTAGGCAAAATCTCCCATGGATTTACCGAGGCTGCAACCGTACCAACGTGTGAAATGCCGGAAATCTCGTCCAATATATACTAATGTAGCCCATACATGTGCACTGTTACTCAAAGCACTCTTGGCTTTTTCTTTTGCTATTTATTTACTGCTGGGTGATGTAGCCTCTATAAATTCATTTCGCAACCCCTGACCCACTTCTTTCTCTCGCAAAATGTGCCTTTAAATCCATACAATTGCAGTTCATTGATGGTGTACGAGAACTGGAAAGCGGTCATGTATATTTGACGGTGAGACATAAAAGAATGGCAGGAAGTTTGGATACGATACTTCAGTACATCGCGAACACGAACTTTGTGTAAGTTAAAAGTAGCTATCCCAGAAAGATTCCACCGTCATGTTTGTGAATTTCAGGGAAAATCATGATATCCTGAATAACACGAAGCCACAACATCCTCCACTTGTGCGCAATGCTCGAGCCTATGCATTTTTCGTGGCCGGCAATATTGTTTATCCTCACGACATCAATAGAGACGACTTTTTCCCCGTGGTCGGGAAATGGAACACGTATGTTGAAGTTTATTATGACTTCACGATACCATTGCCGGCGCTAGTCCAATAACACATTTCCATTTTTAATTCACCCCTTTACGAACCAAAATGAGGTTTTACCATTAGTTAAACATGCCGCACTAGACACCTCTGCAGACCCCGTGTTTTTAGCCACGCACACTCTCCCGTCTTTTTTCGAAGTTTCGACTGTGTTTCAAAGCTTTCACAGTTTTGTACTGCTACAAAGCACATCAGTACAGGTAGCAGGGCACATCATCGTTGGGGACTCCACAACTGAAGATTGCATTTAATCTGAGAAAAAAAGTTTTTTGGTAGTTGATTTTTCTTGTTTCGGGGGTGCTATAATGGGGATGGGGTCGCATTGCTCGCTGTTGGGAAAAAGAGGTCGTATTTGCCTTCTGGCCTTCCGAAATCCTGAAAGAGGTTGATTCCATGTGAGCTTTTCCTGTTTCATATGTACTATATCAGTTCTCCCTCGCCCGCCTTCAGCTCAACCGCTCGCTCAGCATATCGATGAGGAGGTTAGTAGGAGGGTACTGACACGACCAAAGTTCCCAACTAGTGATGTGCTCTGCAGGTAGCCCCGCCCACCATGGAAAGCCCACCCACTTCGTAGAGAGCCCGTCCGCTTTCGCTGAGTTCATCAGATTAGTGGGGAGTCTCAATTAGCAGTTCAGGTCTCGCTCGTCGCTCGAAATACGCCTTGCCTGCTTTTCCTGTCCCGAGTGATGACTAAGGCTCTGACCCATCAACTGAAACTCGATCCTGCTATTTTGAGATATTTTTGGGAGATTGGCGAAGGTCTCTCGGGAGTGCAGTTTCTCGGGGATTCTTACAGTGAGCATAGCATGGCAGCAGCCAAAAATGTGAAAACAATTTAAAAAGGGTAGAAATTCCGCGAAAGTGGGCGTCTCCCGCAGTCCATTACGCTCTGACAGATTGCTGACATGGGAGGAGGAAAGGGGTGCTGGGGTAAGTGGTCCCGTTCAGAAAATGCGAAAACTTCTTCTGCATATTGGTTGAACCCTTGTCAAAGCTCCACTCTCCCAGACTCGGGTAGACTTGTGGTTATACAGATATCCTTGTCCTGCGGCTATGCCGTCCGGCATAAAAGTTGAAGAAATATTGTGAAAAGAGTGTATGTGGTAATGTCCTCGTCCCTGCGCGATGACGTGCGTCGACGCGCGTCACTGCGGCTAAACACTGCCTGAAGTGTCATGAGATCTCATGCAACGCACTGGCGTGTTGTTGGCACGTAGCTCGAGCTGCGTACCCATTTTGGACTAGCGTACCTATGATGAATAATACCTTGCGAGAACTGCCGTTGCTGCAGTGTTCCAGGTTTAGTTCGCACATATTTTCCCCCTGATGCTCTTAATGTGATCTTTCAGCTGAAAACCCAACCTGCTATCGTACGAAAGTCCGGAAGTTCCCGGTTGAAACGGATGAGGTTACTGGTTTGTTCCGTATCGGGCATGGCGACTATCGCACCAGCCCTTATCATCTTGTACATTTGTATAGTATTCATCCTAAGGAGACACGCCTTAGAAAAAAGGTTAGTGAGTTTTGTGGTGGCGTATTCGCAGGTGAAGGTACACATTATGCTGTTCTAGGAGTTAATTAAATAAGAGGAGATCATAGTAGGGGCAGGGATTCCAGGAAGACTTCCAGTGCTAATTTGATTCCATTTTCACTCGTTTGTTCAGATTGCTTATCTCATGGAAACGGAAACACGCACGATTATCAGCCATGTTATGATCATGTATGACTACCATACCGAGGGTCCGGTACCTCGAATTCGTGGTCCTTACTCTAAGCGCTACATGCGACAGAAACCACGGCGGCCAATGGTACGATGCATTTTCTTTTCAAAACTTACTCCAATCTCATAACTGAAATGTTGTTTTTCTGGATCCAACCGATATTACATTTGAATGCTGCTTGAAGTTCTTAGGTTGATATCTATCAGGCTGGAAAGAAAGTCTGGTCACTTTTGCGATTTTTTTCTTTCTTAATTACTAGCTCGACATAGAATAGATATTAATGAGCAATGTAATCGCTATTGTTAGCCACTACAGTGTTCCATTTAACGGGCAGGTCAGCGATCACGCCCCCCCCCCCTCCCCAGAAATGGGGAAAATGCGAGTCGGAAACGTCAGTGACTCCTCGAAAGATGTTTTTGAAATTGTTGGAAGTTTTCTTCGCGAAGAGCCTCGAGGAACAGATAGCATTCGTAGGCCTATGTCAGGAGAATACGATGAGGAGGTATGGTCTCATAGCTCTGCTTCTCAGTCATTTGGTACGTCCGTAGAAGTATGGGCCTAAAGAGCGCGGTGCCCCAAAGCTAGTCTCGGTCATTTTTTCCCCAACAGTTTACACGGGTTTCTGGAGCTGAGCAGCACAAAGGTAGCGGGAGCGTGTGTTCTTACAGGGCAGCTCGTCGTTCAGCACTCTCCTCGCTCCCGGAAGTGGCATAGCAGGAACTCCTTGTAGTGCATGCCAAATTCGGCGTGCTAGAGGGTCTCTCCCTCCGGGACAGTCCACAGCGGTGCGGTATGAATTGGAAAAATTCCCGAGTGAAAGAGTGTATGATATTGAATGAGTATTTGAGTATGGCTTTACATTTTCCATGCCACTGTTACAGTGTAAAATACAATAGTAAATCACGAACAGAAACCCTCCATTCCAATGAACCTAGCGGGATTCCTTCGACTAGGGCGGAGAAGCAGGAAGCTGACAAGTGGGTCATCGGGTGGGCGTCGCGTTGCCATGCGCCGTCAAGGTGTGAGTGATCCATCGAGCCAGTAATTTTCGATAGCCGATGGCTTACAGGCGGTAGACGACTGCCATTTAGGTACACTCAAGTCTTATGGCAAGACTGCGAGTGGTAACCTCTGGATCCCCTTTGGCAGTTTCGAGAACAGTGGAGTCTCCCATTTCGTGGAGGCGTCCCAACCGAGGTTTGCCTTCGAGGAACGTGCTGTCTTTTGCGAAGCGCATGAACCTATCTATGGTGGACGCACCTGATGTTAGTGCTACCTCCGATAATTGCACTTTGGAGTTGCGGTCGTCTGCTTCGCTCCACTCCGCGACCACTGCATCGATGATGATGACTCGAAGTTTCCCCCTGAAATGACATCCTAGATCAAACCCGAGGGAAGAGTTGGCAGCCTTTTGTGTGCCCTCTCGTGGAAGCATCGAGTCTGTTCCGCAAGCATAGGCGTGTTAGCATCATGTTCAGCGCATCAATAACACAAAAAGCTTTAAGCTTTGAAAAATACTGAGCTACACACAACTACATCAGTACATCACTACATACCAGACAGAGGGAGAGAGTGACATTGTCAGTGTTTGTCAGTGTTCAAGGCTAGGTGGACTGTATCAATCCTTAGAGGTGTTTTTGTGATCACGCTCGTAGCCTCACCGGGTTACGGAGGACCTCTTTGCGTATTTGTCTGGCTGGACGTAATTAAGTTCCCACGCTTCAACGCTTTTCCCTTCCATAACTCGTACAAGAAGTCTGCCCAGAACATTTACATTGAAGAGCGGAGTGCGCTTGGGCATAGCTGAGCCATATTGGGGAAATTGCTGTGAGAGTGAACGGCGGCGTCGCCATCGCTGTCTCTGCTGCTGTTCTGCTTACTAACCACGCTAATACGTGCATAAAGCAAAGGAATGGCGTGATCGGAGGAGCTCTCACGTTTCGGTGCGGGCTCTTCCTCCTAACCACATCACTCACCATTCGAAATGAAGAAAGTTGGTAACGGAAGGGTACAAATCCAAAATGAGTCTTTGGGCATCGGCACTTGGTTCTGTGGCGGGCGCTGTAGTTCCGTCGCAGGCGGACAGCGCTTTCCTCACGTAGTCTGAGCTGCAAGATCAGACTCCTCCTTCACCGTTGTGTGCAGGACTACCATGTCCAAAAAAAGGGGCCTGAACATCAAATGAGCGCGGGGCGAGCTTCCAAGGTCTGAAGGAGGCACTAGCGCAGAAGGCTAGCCATTAAAAAATCAGTTCACTAGCTTTGAAGGTTAACGTGATTGATACCGTAGAACTGGGCTCCTCCTGGGGCCTGATTTGGATTCAGATGTAAAAATTATGATGAGGTGTGAAAGTTCATCGCAGAAGACCCTAATGACTCAGAGTAATACGGAATGGTCTTGCCCTTTTCTTCATAACCTTTTCCTGCTAGCCGAGATAGTCAGGTTTGACATGATTGTTTTGGCATTTATTTTTGCTGGCTGGTTCGCAAAAGTAAGAAACTCAGTTGTTTGACCATGTATTATGACTAATTTGTGGATGGCTACATGTGTATTTCACTTTTCAGATCGACATTGCTGACACTCTAGACGATGTTTCTGACATATCAGAATCAGAAAAAGAAAGCCCTGTAAGTAATCTCCAGCTAGTTTTTTTATCTCCATGTTTTGCGGTAGGTGATGCAATTCTGAATCAGTTCGGACTTGGTCCACAATGAATGATGGCTCTATCTTTTTGATCTAAACGGATATGGAATTTTTGAATGATCGCAATCGTCAGCTTCATTACCTCATTAACAAACCACGCTTGGTGTAAGTCACCTCTTTGCGGCTTCGCTTCTTTACTAAAACTGACAAAATGCATGAGAATGAGAAGTTAATCCTCAAAATAGGAAGACGGAAGTGGGAGAGGGACAAGACAATCATAATTTGTCGCGTCGCCGCGCGCAGCGTGCCGTGCGGCCATGCGCGGCCAATCGATGTGCACTAGTTTGTCGATTGAGGCAGCGAAAGTAATATGAATTTGAGCAAAGACAGTACATTTAAACTAGTGATACCGAATTTCCCCATCTTTTGACGTCATATTCAAACGCGGGACAGCTCGTCTATTAGGTTCGGCGTCGCTCGCCACGCCCGTCAGAGCGGTAGATTACGATTGTCTTGTCACACACCCCTGGATGAGGAAGTTTTTGTAAGACTCACGACGGTAGTGCCTTCGTCGTGTGTGCGCTTCTCCTAATATGGAAAAGAGGAGGAGCGCGTTAATGGTGAACACGCGATTGCTGAATCATTGCGGACTCTGCCTTCATTTTATACAGATTAATATTGTCCATTCAGTGAAAACTTGGCTTGCTTGAATAATCGAGTGCCGATGTTCCCGCCTATGACAACTTCCAGAGGGACGTTTGTATTTTTCGTTGATGGCGGCGAGGTAGGGCAGCTGTGATCTTTCTCATTACTATACTCGTTAGAACTTTTTTTCAGGTTGATATACGAAATTTAACTTGTGATGCTTGATCACCATGGTCCCGAGAGGTTTACAAATGATGACTGTTTGTAACTAGTACTGCCGACTACGTTTTCTCCAAACGTTCTATTTCTAATTTTTGTGTACGGGAAGGGGGGGAACAAAAAAAAAAGACAGTGTGCTTAAACGCAGTTGGCACGATGATTTGATGTTCGACATAAAATGGTAGTAGGGCGCTGTATAGTAGGGAAATGGTGAAAAACGGAGTGAAACAATCAAAATCCTGCGAAAAAAGAGCTTCCGCTTCTCACTGTTCATAATCAATTTTGGACGAGTTTCCCGTAGGCATCTTGCCAGTAACCGCTACCGAAGGTACGGCTGCATATGTGTACTCATATAATCCCGATACAGCATCAACGGCCCCTTCACACCAATTGCCTTTCGCTCATAATTTGCTTTAGCAAATGAATCAGTTAGAGCGTCTGGAACAGTCGTCCATTTGTGGGCGACGGGCGTGGCGGGCGTTTGGGTCGTAAGTTGTGGCTTGATAGCGCCCTTATAAGGGCACCTTCCCTGGAAAAGGCATTATGCAGCGCCTGCTCAGGGTCGCGGAACTCCGTCCTGCCAGGCGTATCAGTCCTGCTCGTCTTGGAGGATTTATCGTGCCAACTGCCTTCAAAGCACCCTTGAAAGCAGAAAGGTTAGTGACGCGATAAATTCCTTGAGACGAGCAGGATTGATACGCCTAGGAGGACAGGAGTTTGACACCCCTGAGTAGGCGCTGCGCTGCGCCTTTTCCAAGGAAGATACGCCCAGTCAAGCAGCAACATACCATCCCGGACGCCCACCGCGCTCCCCCCCCCCCACGAATGTCCGACCCCTCCTATTGCTCCTATCGCTTCATGTGCGAAGTACAATGTTAGGCGAAGCGATTAATATGCTGCATGGATAGATGAGTTCACATTTGCAGCCTTATATGCCGTAGCGGTTATTGGCATGATCCAACCGGAAACTCGTCCGAAGTTCAAGACTTGTAGAACAAAGGCTTTTTTTCATAGGCTTCTGACCATTTCACTTCGCTTTTATCGTTGTTTTCTCGCTATAAAGCTCCTCTGATGCCTCTTCAGGCCGAGCACTAATTTATCGTGCCTTACGCCTTAAAAGGAACGCCCAGCGTTGATTTCATGCGCAACGCCCCCGTATTCCCCTCCCATGCGAGAAGAATGTACTACATATAGCACAAAAATACACGAGGAAAGCTCTGTCTGCTCGCGACGGAACCCTGACCACGGCGACGCTTAACATTCATCTTTATGTGCTGCCTGTTAGTGTGATTGTTCCGCTACTAATTTCTCCGCTCTCCATTCCGAATGGTAAAAGTGAGACGGTAAAGAAAAAGAGCTGGCACCAACGAGTGAGATCTCGTTCGACCACGTCCTTTCTTCGCCGTATGCACTTACAAAAGCGATTCGGCATGTGGTGCTACATGGGACATTTTGGGTTTTTTTTCTGATTTCTTCTTCATTATTGTGTTATTTACCATCCTGTCATTAATATTTGAGCCGCACAACTCATATATTGAACCCGGCGGTGCCTATAAGAGTCCCGCTTCATAGAGGAACAACTCACAAATGTTTTGGCTTGCATTTATCGCATTTATTGTGGCACTGCGTGACGTTCGGTTACGCACTTCATGATCACAATGTCTGCCCTTTCTTCCCCCCCCCCCTCCGCTTGTTGTTCATGTGCAAATAGGTTGTGCTGGCGGATGTTATAAAATTAAATGAATATTCTTCGTAAAGGTTCCATCATGTGTCGACGTCCAAAAACAAGTAAAATCTCTCTGGGTCTCAATCGAGAAGGGCAATTACGCGTCATGAAAATGTCGCGATCACAAGGCACTGACTACCAAATGCATATCTATGCAGCCACACTGCCGCGACTACCGCGGTTGAAGAAAAGAGTAAGTTGTCAAGCTTTCAGTTATGTACTTCTGCTCTTTTATTGTTACTTGTCGACTCAAAAAGCATCTTATACTCCTCCAATAGTCGTGACCACTCTTCTTATGGATTACTTCTTCCGTTAAGGTGATCTACCTAACCAAAGGCGGTATGCAAATTGGTCATTCGATGATTGTGTATTGGTACACAGAGGAAGGAGCTTTACCCACACAGGTTCCGCCAAACCACTTGATAGCCCGTGCCTATTGTATTTCTCTCGATTCTATCTTCTCCAGGTACCAC